CAAATTTATATGTTCCTATAACGTTATATTTCTCATAACGCGGTTCCCATAAACGCGTTTCCTAATTTCGATTAATTCTGATTTTCTTATAACACGGTTTCCATATAACGCGTTTTTCGGCCAGTTAGAAAAATAAGGGTTAAACTGAAAATATTTGACGGTGACGATGAATAATAAAACGATCTAATTGTGGTATCCTCGATGTATGAACCACGTGATAAGAATGTCTGAATTCTGATCAGACTGAAGCGGTTTCATAAGAGTGTTTGAGAATAAAACATTTGTTTCAGAAATAAATATAAATAAGAAAAAATATGGAATAACATCGAAGGATAAGAGAACTTACGATAGAAAAGATTTTAATAAGGGCTTTGATAAGCACCCGAAAGATAATTATATAAAACAAAGTAATAAACCGTTTAATTTTAACACGTTAGAATCCTATTTTAAACTAGGATGCGTCACTAATATGTATCAAATTAAGTTTCTTCGTTGGAAAGAATTTTTTTAGTTTATAATTTTATTATACGAACTATGTATTATATTCGATGAACCTAAATTCGAATATGTAAAAATCTACATATTCGTTGTCATTTCTATTATAAAATTTTATTTATTAACCGTATCAATCGCAACTTGATACTTTGAGAATGCAGTTGTTATATAGGTCTGATTTATGTACAATTTATTTATTTCTGAGATTCCATATAACGCGGTACGAGTTCGTTCAATTTGTATTATTTCTGAGTTTCTTAGAACGCGGTTCCTGTATAACGCGGCAGTGGTTTCCATATAACGCGGTATAAGTTAATCCGATTTGTCTTATTACCATGTTTATCATAACGCGGTTTACATAGAACGCGTTTCCTGATTTCGATTAATTCTGATTTTCTTATAACACGGTTTCCGTATAACGCGGTACGAGTTAATCGCGTTGTAGGAGACTAGACTGTACTCCGTGCAAATGATCTTTGTCATCGTAGGAAAGAACTCTTCGTGGACCTCTCTTCAGAGCCAGTTTCGCAAAAGCGTGTTCACATTCCACATTCCGAAACGGAATATTAAATTCCCATAACGGAATTTAGCAGTCAACGATCCATACTAATCTCGAATTATTTATACTTTTTATTTGTTTGCTTTATTTCGTCTTGATCTCCAAAGATTCTAAATATATTAAAATTTACGAATATATTTTAGTTCTCGCTTATTAATTAATTCTGATTCTCTTATAACACGGTTTCCATATAACGCGTTATGGGAGACTCGACTGTATAGGGTCCACGTGTCAGGAACTGATAAAGCCTCGAGGAGATAAGCGCGCGAAATCTCAGTTCAAATCTCGCGTGTGGTTGTGGTTTCGGTTTCGCTTTTGGTATTTCTTCCGTTATCCTTGTGCTATATTTTTCTTCTTGGAACTCCTTTTTTAGCGCAGCTTCTCGTTCATTCGAGGTGATTTCCACTTCCTTGAAGTTCTCACGTACGGTCGTATCTTTTTATCGCTCGAATCGCTTTCTCGCGAATTTTTATTTTTATCCTTGGTACATTGTTTATCTTTCCTTTTATGACGGTAATTCTTTTTTGGTATATCTTCCGGGAAGGCATTTGTTGATGGAAATCTTGCACAGTATAGCGTATTTTTAATCTATTTATCGTGTTTCATATTCTATTCTATCTTATGGATTGACTTGAGAGAGACTTGGTAGGGAATTGGATCATTCGATCTGCTCTTTTTGTTACTTCATTTATTTTCTCTTGTTCCAACATTGTCTTTTCTTATAATAATTCGAGAATTCCGTTTCTTGCTCTGTTTTTACAAATCCCTGTATTGAGACTTGGGGTTTTATTGATTACGAAAGAACGACAAGGTATTATTTATTCCTCACTCGAAGATATATCGTTTCTATCGACAGTCTTAAAGCGATAGACTGATTTCTAATTTTAATTTGTATCTTAATTCTTCGAGGTACGATTTTACAGAAAAGAAAAACAGAATATTCCACAGAACGAGAACTTTCGTCGTCAGTGAAACTGACGTTTATTATCATAAAGAAAATTCGATTTTGCGATGAAACTGTTCGGTGTTGCAGTCTAGTAACTTTTCCGTTCTCGGTTTAGCTTGGCATTAAAAATACTTGCTGCTAAAGTATACAGTGTGGCGAAATATCTGTCATGGGAACTAGTATTATTTAAACAATCTAATATCCGAATATTCCCTATATAGGGAAATATATATATATTAAATTATATTTATCATTATTACATATGCATATGAAGTAAATATAAATATATATATACTTCCCTATGTCAGAACTTGTATTATTTAAATAAAGTAATATCCGAATATTCCCTATATAGGGAAAAATATATTATATATATAATAAATTGTACTTGTCATTATCACATATGTATATGAAGTAAATATAATTATAAATATATATAATATTTCTGTATGTCCTCATTACTGGTGTCACTATGGTGTTATTTCCGTCAATCAAATTCGCCATTACCAGATTTTTAAAACACTCCTTTTGCCACCAAAATATTACCAAACCTAACCAATTTACTTTTACATATCGATAACAAAGATATATCGAGACTTGTATCAACATTTCAAATATTAAAAGGTTAATTATTATTTAGAGGTTATGGCATCAAAACCTAGTGTGTTTTTTGGGGTAAATTCGGTGTTAAAGTATTCAAATACAAAGTATATAAGATTCGTCACCAAAATCAAAACTCAATAGCGATACAGAAGATTATGCTTTAATATTCAAGCCTTATAAACATTTATTTATTTATTGCAATCGAATTCTATGCATCGAAAAAATATATTGCAAGAAAAGCATATTTAACCCTTTGCACTCGAGAGGCGTCCTTTAATCGCCATTTTAAAAATTCCGAAGATCGATATTAATTAATATGTCAAGGTTAAGATAATGTAATGATATGAAAGGTATCGAAATCAAATAATTCTACCTATTAACCCTTTACACTCGACGATTTTTTCGTTACAGGAAAATGGTAATTCGCAGACTTTCTGCTATAAAGTCGACAATATTTCTAAAACGGTAAATAAGAAATCGTATGAAAATTAAGACGTAGAATTATTTTACTTCAATATTCCATGCATCGTTGGGTAATTGTAAATTTGATATATTAATTAACATCTATTTTTAGAATCTGATTAAATGGCGACTGAGAGGCATCTCTCGAGTGTAAAGGGTTAATTATTATACGATTTCTTATTTAAATACTACTCAAAAAAATATAGTCATTTGTATAGCAAAAAATCTTTGAAAACTTACTCTTCTTTAGTCAAAAAATCGTCGAGTGCAAAGGGTTCAATGATTTCATGAATAAATGGAAACGTAATTTGGTGCCATTTAATGTACTAAAAAATTAATGCTACTTAACAGTGAAAGAAACATGGATTCCATAAGTAATCAAAGATTATTACATTTATGTTGCGTCTTATCTTATGTAATTGTTAGCAATATCATTCTTGTTGAAATGTTGAGTGGTTTGCTATCTTAGAACAATTCTTCTATCTGAATAGTCGTGTCTTATTAATTGGAATACTTGAGAGTCCCCTGTAATATATTTTACGTAGAATAATGTGTCACAAACATTATACAATTTACAGGGTACTAAATCATAGTTCGTGAGATTTCGAAATTGAAACTGCATGACATATTACTATATTTATTTCTTCTGTAACATTCGAAAGCATCGAACAATGCGACTTCGATGAGACAACGATATTTATTCAACTTTCAAATGCCATAATTTTTTCACACTGTACCATAGTAATCTTCTATTCCATTAAAAATACGTTATAGACCGCAAAAATTTTATCTAGATATCGATTTTACTCGAGCTATCAAGCTCAATAATTTATTTATTTCTTTTTGAAAAAAATATCAATTTTTTTAAATTCAGATTTTTATTCCTCGATCTCTGATGCATCTTTTAACTATTCAGCAATTTATATTTATTTCGTCGCTGTAGAATTTTTCATTTCTTTTATTACAGTATTTTTGCAATATATTAGTAACTCAATTTTTTCAATTTATATTAAATTGTAAAATAAAAATAAAAATAATCTCGTAAAAGTTTCAATGGAAGAATAATAATTAAAATTCGCAGAATCAGAAGTATAATAAGATGATTTACAGCTTGTTCAGGTGAGATAATAAATTTCGATGAATTTGATCATTTATACGAATAGATGATAACCTAATGCGGTGTTCACACAATGTCATATCTTCATTCAAAAGTTAATTATCACGTATGTGAGCTTTTCATACTTACAGTGTACTTAAAAAGTAATCGTATCCTCTGAATTAGCTTTTATCATTCTTCTTCGTTGGTCTTTGAAGACTATTTTTTAAATAAATTTTTAACAGCGAATAATTATTTTGAAAATATTACAACTGCTAGTTAGTATAGTATAATATAGTATAATGTAATTGTATAATATAATATATTACAAGTTTGCCATGTGTAAGTACTATACTATATACATACTATACATACTGTACGTGATGATACTGCTATTCGAGTAAAAGTTGTGCAAATTTTCTCAAAATTCCGTTAAAATTCTTTTTGAATATTCCGGAAATTTTCTTATTTTTTAAATTTTCTATTCCTTAAAATTGTCTTATCTTTGAAGTTTTTTCTAAACAGATATGTATGTGATTATATTGCTATTTGAGTAGAAGTTGTGCAAATTTTCTCAAAATTCTGTTAAAATTCTTTTACAATATTCTGGAAATTTTCTAATCCTCAAAATTGTCATATTTTTGAAACTCTTTCTAAATTTTCCTAGAAATTTTCTTTTCCTTAATTGTTGATATACACTCGCGAAATTGTCTCAGCTCAAACTGAAACACCCTGTATAATTCTAGTACTCGTATTTTATAAAAATTCACATATCCAAATAAAAAGACGCGAAGACACGAAAATAGGGAAAAGAGAAAAAGTAATTTAAAAACACTCACATGACGACTTCAGCTTTTCTTTGGCAGCCTGTATATTGATGTTCGCCATCATGATATTCACGTCTTTTGGTTTTCCAGCCTCATTGTCCGCAATTCCGTTGGCCGGTGTTTCCGAGACTCCTGGGTCCATGTCGATCAGCCCTGTCAATCGCGGCTGGCTGTCTGTCGAAATTCATGTCGTTTATTTCACCGATAGATCTCGTCAGCGGCGTTAAACTCGACTCAGACGTCGGTTTTAATAAAAAAGAAAAAGGAAAATTAGAAAAAGAGAAAAAAGAAAAAATTCGGGAAAAGGATTTTAAAGGGAATCGAGTTCTGCTTCGGTCTATCGATAGAAAATTTTCACTCATAGATTTCGTCATCGACGTTAACCTAGACTCAGACATCGATTTTAATAAAAACAAATTTTTAAAAAAGTAAAAACACGAGAAAACGATTTTAAAGAAAATCAAGGTCGTTTCTCTTCTATCGATGGAGAATTTTCATCCATAGAACTCGATTCAAACATCGATTTCAATAGAAAACATTTGTTAAAGAAGAAAAAATCGGGAAAATAATTTTGGAAAGGATCGAGGTTCGTTTCGCTCGGATCAATAGAAAATCTTCACCGATAGATTTCGTCATCCACGTTAAACTAGACTCAGATGTCGATTTTACTAAAACAAGAAATTTTTTAAAAAAGAAAAATTCGAGAAAAGAATTTTGAAGGAAATCAAAATCGTTTCGCTCCTATCGATGAAGAATTTTCACTCTTTGATCTCGTCATCAACGTTAAACTACACTCAGACGCCGATTTTAATAAAAAATATTTAAAAGAAAGGAAAAAAATCGGGAAAAGAATTTTAAAGTGAATCAAGGTCATTTCGCCTATGTGCATGGAGAATTTTCACTCATAGAACTCGTCTCAGACAATTTCAATAAAAAAAAAAAAGAAAAATGGTTAAAAAAGAAAAAATTACGAATAGAATTTTAAAAGAAATTAAGGTCGTTTCACTCCTATCAATGAAAATTTTTCCCTCATAGATCTCTTCGTCAACGCAAACTCGACCAAAACATCAAGAATCGAACGTCGATTTCCATAAAAAAAATAAAAATAAAAAGGAATAGAATTTTGAAAAGAGTCAAGTTCATTTCACTCGTATCGATAGAGAATTTTCCCTCGCAAATCTCGTTATCGTCGCTAAACTCGACTCGGACACCTAAATTCGAACGTCGATTTCAATAAAAAGACAAAAAAGAAATCTTGGTGGAACAAAAGGAAAAACATTTTCACCCTTTTATACGGTATTTATCACCGCGACGGTGGAATACAATGGCGCACGCCGTTTTTCGATTTCGCTATCAGCGAATTCGGAGACGCGTCTATAACCGGGAACGGGGTCGTAAATCGTGGCTGACAGAATGGTGAAAAATGCGAGAAATAAGGCGACCGGCTGTAAATCGTTCGGTAGCGACGTTTCGCCGCGTCGGAAGAGGGAATTGATAAAGAGAAACGTCTGTCGGGCGCCGGCCACGTAGTACTGCGTTTTCCGCGTGCCCAAACCCGCTACCCACGGATCGATTTCGTTCCCTGGAGTTTATACAACACGAAATTCTTGGAACTTTTTAACCAGTTAGCTGTGATCGACGAGTATACTCGTCACGGAGAAGTGGCCGGATTTTGTGTAACGACGAGTATACTCGTCATGCGTAAAAAGTAGCGACCATTGGCTATTTAAATTGTAATTTTTGTGAAAAATAAAACGTATTCTCAAATTTCAAGATGTTTAGAATATTTTCAGGCCAGGCCTGAATGAAACAAACGAATAAAAAATATGAATAATTTGAGATGAACTCATGCGTCCCCGTATGCACCGGCTGAAACAGCTTATCAGTTCGCATAACGAATTTATTTATGCGCGATGATAACGTTTTTTAGATGTT